ACCGTACAGTGAGCTGAGGCTTGTTTTGTCTGTGTGATCTGCACTGAAAGGAAAATATGCTCGGCTTCTTAGGAAACGGGGAAAGATGGAGTTCCAGCACAGTTGTTGTTTGTCCAGGACAATTAGTCTCTCATTGTGTATAATCCTGTACGGTGACTTGTATCATGAACTGATGACGTGCACCAGATCAAAAAGGGTCTCATCACCACCTTTTACAGATTACACAGCCATATTTTCATGACAAGTGTTGGTTTAGTGGCTGGGTGTTTCACAGACAGACACACGTGCAGAAACTAACTACTTGTTGTGAATGTGTCTGCAGGTTAGACAACACCACACGTTTATCTAAGGGCCTTGCTCTCACTGAGCTGTTACATCAAATATACTTTAGTCCAAGGTCTTACTGTAAAGCAGCTAGACATTAGACAGTGCTTGCGTAACACCTGTTCCGTATGTGTGGGTGATTTTTCACAAGAGTTCGTTGAAGTTCCTGAAGTGCCGACTACGCAGTGTGTACTTTTTATTTAGCTGAGTTTAAATTACAGCACTGGCTACTAAACAAATGATGCTTTATGTCACAGCCTGCATAGCCCGGACTTTGTACTAATGACGTAGTCTGCCACAATACTTGGTAACGGTCATTACCTCCGATGGATTAAAGGTGCAGTGTTTGAGCTGTAGAAGGATTTATTAGAAGAAACAGGCCATAGTAATAATAATAACATAATTATGTTTTCAATAATGTGTAATCACCAGTAAATAAGAATTGTTGTGTTTTCTTTTTCTTACAATGAGCCTTTTATATCTACATAGGAGTGGGTCCACTATCACGGAGGCCGCCATGTTGAGACGTTTCTTACAGTAGCCCAGAACGGACAAACCATAGAGTGACGTGAATTTTGCATTGAAGTAGCAGCTTTGATTTGAATACGGTTGGAAGAGGAAAAGAAGTAATGTTAGGAACAAGAAGAATCATTGTCGTGAGTTTACGAACTATAATTTGAATAAATGGAGGGTCATAGTTAAACTTGAATGTAACAAAAAGGAAGACAGCGTGAATCCCCGTTGTCAAAGAAGCAAAGACATGAAGAAACAGGATAACTGTGGTCAAGAGCCACTGATCAAACTCGATCAAGCCAGGCGCCGTTTAACTTTTGTTGCGCTTCTTTTCATGCAAGTGTGGTAAAGGTGCTAGGAGAAGCCAAGATGGACATTTAAAGTCTTGTAGAGTGTTTATTAATAGGCCTAATGAATATGACGGTAGTACTGCACATCCTAATATGTGTGTATCCATCCTTCTTGAAAAGGACACTGTGGTCAAGTGTGAGTCCAGCCTAAATCTCACACACTGAACCTTTAAATAAACAGGACATTAAAGCTGTTGTACATCCTCAGTTTGTCTCTAACACTGGTTTTGATTGTTAGATGACTCCTACACTGGATATGTTTCAGTTCCTCAGCATTTTATCATCACTGTAAGAACATGCATAGACCTGTTAGTTGTACAGGTACAGGTTTGTTCCCAGGAGTAGCCTACAATATATACAAAATAAACGATGCCGGTAGTGCGTTCCCTGTGAATATACTACATAATTAGATGATTGCTTCACAAAAAGAGAATCTCAACTGATCTAATGTGGTTTTGCAGCATGCCTCGCTAATAAGACTGATTATATTTTATTTTCTGTAAGGAGTTACTTTCTATGATCATGAAGACCTGACTGACGGTGGCTGATCAGATGGAGGGATATACTGTTTAATGTTCCACTGCTGGACAGAAGTCATTGTCATATACAGTTTCATACAGAGCAGTATCAGCTGCCGTGGCTCTAAAGTGATGCACTGAGACTAATCTTTATTGGAGCCAGTTCTCTTACACACAAGCATTGCTGTCACCCCACATTCGTGGAATTTCTCTGATGAAGCACATTTGACTCATTATTGCAGAGGCCTAAAAAAACAGGTGCCACGATCTGTCGTCCCTCACCTGCTTTCAGGCCTACTTCCCCCAGACGCACAGTAACTGTTTCGATCACACATTACTACAGCAGCTGTGATTTTGATGAGGACGAGGACAACAACAAAGAATTCCTCAGATGATGAATCACTTTACAAGTTTCCGGACTGCTTTTGATGATTTCACTAGAGTGAAAGAAAAACAGCTGGAGCTGATGCAGGGAGATTTCTGTTCACATAGAACAGAGCTCTGAGGAAAGCTTCATCAATAGCAACCCTGCCACCTCAGTGTCACATAAACAAACTGCATCAAAACAGTGCCAATATGAACATGATTTCAATATTTTCTTCTTTGATCAGGCCAAAAAAGAAATGGCATGTATGGCTGAGACAAACAACTAAGTTGGAACATGAGGAGTTGGTATAACATGGTTTTGATGAGACGTGTTAGAGGCAGGAGGCTGTGTGGAAAAACAAGAATACTGGGTCCACATGTGCACCTGTTGTGGACCTATCACACCATCCATCAGTTTGCTCCAGATTTCGTCTCTAAGACGACTACGTGCCAACCAAGGACAACATCAGATCTCTGGTTGGACATAATCATAGAAATCTGCTGCCCACTCACTGTGTTAGCACTGGTACTGGAAAGACTGAAACTGAAAACAAACCAATATGGTTTTCACATTTGGCTAAATACTGGGAGTACAGCGCATAGAGCTAGTTTAGGGCCAGGAACATTGCTCTTCAAAAGTCTGGCATGGGCCCAGCAAATTGGCCAGCAAGATGTCAGTGCAATTCCATCAACCTGGGCCTGGTGATTTTTCTACAGTCTGTAGGAAAGCTGACAAGGACCATTATCACTGTCCACTTCAGAACTGATACCAAGGCTAGCTGTATCTGCCTGGTTCTACTGGGACAGATGCCATGATGGCCAATTTGGCAGCAACACCTCTGTTACCTGTGGCGAGTTGTATCTGCTCTGCTACCACAACAGCACACATGGAAACACAATGGCCCATCATTCAGCTCACCTTTCACCTGTGAGGAGCTGCCAAACCACACCGGAGTGCACTTTGTGCCCTGAGACCAGATGAAAAGGTATAAGCCTGGCTAGTGACCTGTGTCATCCTCCTGATGAAAGACCTTCTAAAGCCACCTCACCCAAGCCTGAACACATTCTCATGGCTGCTGGTCACTATGTTTGTCCACCTTAAAATCATCTTTCCACTGTTTAGCCAGATGCTACATAACAGACTGAGTAGAAACACTGAAATAAATCTGAAAATGTAACTACGATTATATGAAATGGTCTTGTGTCTAAAGAGTTTCACATCTTTTCACAAGTCTGTTCAGATTCTGCAATACGGCATGTGATGCATCGAGGTGTCATAGTGTTTCTCCAGACCTCTTTACCCGACTACCTGGGTTCAAGGTCTTGTACTGGGCTGCATCACCCCTGCATCCTTAAAAGACACTAACACAATCAACTCAAATGGGAACATCTGTGGCTATGTTTGACCTGTGGCCTCCCGGGAATTTCCCTGTGGGTATTAAAGATAATAATGACTTTGTTTGGAAACGTCCTTTTTTACTGGTTTCAGAAAATATGGCATTAGAAATGTTTCCCACGCTAAACAGGATCTTATTTTTGTTGCTGTATTTTTCTGTGGGTGTCTTTATGCTACTGACCTCTCTCGTCTAGTAACAGAATATTTAAGATCAGTTTGCATGCACTTGATGAACAGTTGCATGTTTGTGTGTCTGTGGCCACATGACACTTTCTCTGCCATCTCTGCACGCTGCCTCTCTCAGTGTGGGAATAAGTCCCCACTGATTTGCAGGCCTTGTCTCGCCATGCAGCGTGCACTGATGTCATGGGAGGCGTTTCCTTTCTTTATGAGTGCAGCTCTGTGATCTCTGGTGGAGATCAATTAGCTGAGCAATCAGCCCGCCCCATGCTTTTGTGTTACTGCTCGTAAACCTTTTGGTTGCCTGGTGAACGGGTGAATGCACTGCCTCAGCACAAACAGCCACCCGAGTCAGCCTGGCCCTGGTAGTGCTCCAGGCTCCTGCTCAGTACAGTGTATGCCATGTGACCCCAGCTCACGCACTGGACCATTAGCCACTGTCATTTAAGATTAGCTGGTAATAATGTGTGTGGGTCATAGTAACGACCTGTTAGTGGGGACTCTGGTCATACTCCCTAACAGGATTTGATCTCCATAGACAGTATAGGCTAAACAAATCTGCTCTGGAAATTGTACTGTATTGTTTGCCTCATACCCTGTACATGTATCATCTAAAGCTTCACATACAGGAAAAAAGACCTGACATTTTCTAGCAGCGACATTTTGTAACTGTGCAATCAGTAATGACTGAAGTTATTCAGTCCCCTTTCTAAACAGCCGCTGCTCGGTGCTGCCAATGATAACACACCCTCACTTATGAATAATAAAGCATAATGACCAGCATATCTCAGCCTATTTATCCTCTTGTTGCAGGGCTGGGAGTGATCCGGGGGTGTACTGCTGGTTCAGTTTGCAGGAACATCCTGTATGCCATG